GCTTAAAAGGTGAGCTTGGACAGTTTTTGTTGGTTTTCCTGTATTCTGCTCTCCAGAATGCTTGCAGCCATGTATGGAATATTAAATCTCTGTGCACGGAGGTTGCAGGTAGTGTTCATCTCTGTATTTATAACTGACAAACTCTGGGGAATTCTGTGGTACACAGTAAATTACTTTAGCCCTCAACTTAATACTGAAATAATTTGCCTAACTACAGGGAAGCTTCTTTCCCCTACTTTGCTGGCAGCAACACACAGAACATCCAAAGAGACTTGACTCTTCGCTTCTTCGCTATAAGCATAGCCAAGAGTCAATCCTGATTTCTGTGGGTCTGTACATTAGACAGGGATAGCTGGAGAACTTACATTTCCACTCTGTCTTTGGAGCCATTTTCTGCTCCTTTGAAGAAAGAAAATAGGACAATTGCTTTGTATTTGTCTGGAGAAAAAATCTAGCCTCGTTTTTAGGATTTGAGTTTGTAGTGTGTCCAGTTCCCTACTATCTCTGCCACAGATTTACTCTGTGAATTTGATTAATTCTCTTTGAATCAATGGGATAAGTGCATGTGTGGTGCTCTGTAGGCAGGGTATAGAAGGAGGTTGTCAAATGCTTGGATGTGATACCAGCAAAGGTGGATTAAAGAGATTGTCCAGTTGAGATTTTGGGGGTGGTTTTTTTTTCTCTCTTTTTGATCTTACAGAAATTTCACATGCCACAAACATGATATAACACCTTTTTTTTTTTTTTTTTTTTTTTCTTGTGTTAAGACAACAATATTCAATAACCTTAGGAAATAGAGATTATACATCTCTCATTTCTTAGCTACTTAATAAGGTTATATATTCCCTTCTAGAACCAGTGAGTTGCCTTGGAGCAAAAATCATCTTTTATTCTACCATTGTTTAAAGATCCAACAATGCATCATGTTAATTTGTTGCTATGCCACCCAGGCAATGCAAAGGAAGTTAGGAAAGAGAACACTTAGAAACCATTTGGAAAGAATTAGTTTCATGGATATTTTTAGCCTTTGGATGTATGTTGAGAGCAAACTTAGTACTCTGTTATTCTGCATTTTGCATGGATTGTGATTCTAAGCATTGCTAAATGTATAACTTTATCATTGTTTTCCAACTGGTCATGGGCTTGTTGCAGCAAACATTGGCCAAATGTATTTCTTCAGAATACAACCTTAACGGAACCATTGGTGAAAATATTTGAATCTCACTTTCCAAGTAGTGCAATGCATATTTGAAGAAGTTGTTTCATGCTCATTTTTTTCCTTTTTTTTTTTTTTTTCCTTTGTACAGATGCTGATAGTATTGAATTAAAATTAATGTAAGGACATTTTTCCATATTAATTGCATTCTGAATGAATATTTTCTATTTGTTAAATAATGAAAGATTAGTAGGGTAGCTTTTTCTACTCATCATAGCTAATTAATATTTTTCCTACTAATTACATTGTGTGACATTTACTTATTTCTTAAAATCAGTTATTTAATTTATTTAATACCATACAGTGTAGAGTTAACTCTGTTCTAGACTATTCCAAACTAGACTCTTTAGTTGAATTTTTGTAAGGAGAGTAATTGTCCCTGGTAAAGTCAGTCGTGGATAACTGATGTCGTGTCTGGTTTATGTTTAGACTCAAAGACAACATAAATTCTTGGTAAACTAATGACGTATCATATATGTCATAAAATAGAAATTATTACAATTTTAAAAGTGTTTTACTTATTAAATGTATTGCAGAATTTTTCATTTTTTTGAGTATTAGTCAAGGGCTACAAAAATGGCTCAGTTTACTTCTGGGTTTCGCATAACATTTGTTCTACATAATTCTTGGGTTTTTCAAATCATGCTCATTTAATCACTGAAATACTGTAGCACACCAGCAAGCTCTAATAAAAATGCTTCTATGTGTTTAATGACCATGTTTTTGAAGTTATCACTTTTATGAGGTGTATAGCTCATTGTTAGCTTCCCTTTAGAGGAATAATAATGAAAATAGAGACAGTCTTTTATATGCAAATGGAACATTATAGAGACATTTTACTTGCCATAAAGTCCAATCATTTCAAGGGTATTGCCATTTTATATGATAGTCCAAAAATATTTATGATGTTCTGAAGTCACTTTAAACTATTGTGGCCAAGGGTAGAGGAATACTTATTGTGTTTTTTTAGCTTTCTAAAATCGTATTTTGAAGTGAAAAGTGACATCAGCACTGAGTAAAATCTCAACTTGGTTGCTGAAGTTGTGGCCATTGTTGCTAGGTGATCACTTGTAGTCATTGCACTTGGGTTCTGGACCAGCTGGGAGTGTCCAGAGTGGGGAGGAGAGTGTGATCTAAAGTCTGAAGAACATAGTTTCTGAGATAAAAGTAGCAAGAATAATGTTTCATTGAGCATGTGAACAGTGTGAAGTAACGGATGAAACAGTAACAGTAGAGTGTGACCACCAGGTCTTCTAGGGAGTTTCTCCTCCCTCTCTACTCTGCCCTAGTGAGGCCACATCTGGAGTACTGTGTCCAGTTCTGGGCTCTCCAGTTCAAGGGAGACAAGGAACTACTGGAGAGAGTACCAGAGAGGGCTGTGAAGATGACTAGTGGACTGGAACATCTCTGTTATGAGGAAAGGCTGAGAGACCTGGGGCTGTTTAGTCTGAAGACTGAGAGGGGATCTTATCAGTGTTTATAAATATCTGGAGGATGGGTGTCAAGAGGCTGAGGCCAGTATTTTTTCAGTGGTCTCCAGTGATAGGACAGGGGCAACAGGCAGAAACTTGGAGACAGGAAGTTCCACCTCAACATAAATTTCTTTCCTGTGAGGGTGACAGAGCCTTGGAACAGGCTGTCCACAACAGAGAGGTTGTGGAGTCTCCTTCTCTGGAGGTTTTCAAACCCCTCCTGGACACATTCCTGTGCAGCCTGCTCTAGGCAGAGGGGTTGAACTAGATGATCTCCAGAGGTCCCTTCCAACCCCTACCATTCTGTGATTCTGTGAAATAGACACAAGGGAGGTTTTATGTTTGGAAAAAAAAGAGCCAACAGTACATTGGAAGAAACAGTGGAGGAGGTCTGGCGAGTGGGAAAGAACTAAGTGATGTGGTTCATTCTAGTCTTATTTTCTGCAATTCAGTAGGTTAGACATGCCTCTGTTGTAAATTGTCCTTCTCAGTGTAACTTTCACAAGATCTGCTCCTGGGACTATTGCCAGGGATCCCATATTTACCTGGCAGAAAACAAGGTAGAGCATATTTTGTGGGGTAATTGCTCCTGCTTCTCATGGGAGAAGAAGCCTTTATGACTGCTTTGTTCTGTGGAACTACTAACGTCTAGTGAGGAGGCCCCGAGAACTCTAACTAAATAATGTAAAGTAGGCTGAAGAAAAATGGGATTTATGTGGTGAGCTTGACACTTCAGGTAGATTGAACATCTTTATCTTCTGTTTGCCTGCTGGTTTTGTGCCTAGATATCCTGCAGAGAAGGTGGGATAGTTCTGTTACTAACTGTGAGAGCATGTAGTTTTGATGTTTTAAGCTAAGATGTTTTAAGCTAAGATGTTTTAAGAAGCTCCTGTCATGCTGTCATGATCTTGCTAGACATGCTGAAGTTCAGTTATTTTCTTTACTTTCTTTTTAATAGTTTATGTATTCATCCGTTTCTGTGACATGTAGGTAAGCCTGTAAAAACCAATGAATAGCAGCTACAAATTTTGAAACAACAGGGCTTTTCTAACAAAAGTAAGAAATAAATTGTAAAAAAATATTTCCAAATAAATAAAACCTTTTTGCTTCTCTCTGATTTTATTCTTCTTGATATGAAAAATACAAATACAATGTTTCACCAATTATTTTTTTTTACTGAGAAATAACAAATGCTCTTTTTTGACATAGTTTCATTTTGAAAAAGTAATAAATCTTTAGTAATTTTTATTAGATAATTTGTACCTGTTCAGATCATTCACATACCTCTTCACTATTTGAATTATCTTACAGTATTGTAATATTTTTTATTAATTTCTTCTGAGGTTGAAAAACTGCGGGTTTGAAGGACATTGTAAGAATATAATTCCAGAAATCTGTTGACAATTTAAAGCATCTTTTATGTAACCTAGTAAAATGGTAATTCAACCTAATAACTAGGAGAACAATGGCATTTTTCTAATTTTTAAAAAAATCATAAATGAATGAAAGAATATAATAAGATTAAAAAATACAGGGTTATGACATTAATGTGTGCTCTGTTCATTTATTTGACAAGTGTTTTTGTTCTAATTATGTAAGTTCCAAATATACCAGTGAAAGCATTAGTGAAATTAGATTTCATTACAGTTGCTAGCTATTGAATAGGTAAAGTGAAGAAACCCTGCTTTCTTTAGGTCCAAATATGGCACTGCGTAGTGTGAATGGATGAAGAGTTCTATAACAATTTCATAACAGTCCTTGAAACAATATTGTATTTTTAGTTTCATTGAATTGATTTATTTTATATCTATCTGTCTATCTATCTATATCTATCTTTCTGGCTTGTTTTCCAGAAGATCACTACACTTTATGTAAGTGGCTGTCCAGTGTCTTCATAGCATTTATCCCTTTTTCTTATTTAATTATGTCCATTGAAGCTTTGAGATAATTTCTCAGTGGATGCTTATTGTTGTCTCAGATATGTTTTGCTCCATGTGGCTTTCAGTACTGATGAGGATAATAATTCTTTCAGTAGAAAGTTGCCATTTGCTGACATTATTTCTAACAAAATTAATTTTGAATAATTTTTTGATGCAAATGGGAGAACTGTTTCCCTTGGAGAACAGGACAGCATACAGTGTGTAGAGTTGTTTTTCTAGTACATGTAAGACATGAAACTCAACTATTCTGGTGAGTCAAGAGAATATGGGAAGTGTTTGGTTTCACGGCAAAGAAAAGGAGGTTGAATACTGACAGCTGAAGCATTAGAGTGTCTTTTCTCCTTGTAATCTAATCTTGCTATATTTGTTCAGCTAGGATTGTGTGTTAGCAGAGCTTCAGCATCTGTCCTCAATCTCAACTGCTGCCTGGTCCTTCTACCAATGTGCCGTGTTCTCTTGGCCTTCCTGAGAGGATCTCAGAAGGTAAGTACTGTCCTTGGAATGTGACAGTTCAGATGAGGGCCCTGGTTTCTGTTTGGTCTAAAAATAATAGGGAAAAATGTGTTACAGCCCTGTTTGTTATGCAGTATGTGTGTGTGTGGTACAAATATCAGACACTCAGCGTAGATTCGTGATGCCTTTGAAGACGATGGCTTCGCTGTCGTTGTCTGCTTTGATTTGACTTGTTGTGAGGAAGGTTTCTTCAACACATTTTTGAAGGACCAGGAGTTGCTGTGGAACTGTAACCAGAGAAAGAACTTTAAATAAAAATACTCACCCTGATATATTCATTATGGGAGAAAAAATGTTCTGGCAAAGCTAAGAGTATTTGTTTTCTGTAACAGTATTCAGTAAACAATAGTTCAGCTTGTTTGTGTTTTGCCAGTGGCTTCTACAGAAATGTAAGTAATGCTTTTAAGGAACATCTGTGTTTTCTAGATGGTTGCAAATTGAACCTCTGAATTCTGTTTATCATGTGACAGTATCTGTCATGTTTGATGCCTATAGATGCATGTATGTATGCAAATATAGCTTTCTTTCTGATCCTGCTCGCTAGAAGAATCGGTGATCCTAAATTTTAAGGCCAGGAGGGACATTACTTTACGTGCTCCTGTAAAACAGATCTAACTGTAATTTCTTCATTAAGACCTCAAAATTGGCTCATTGACATAATCCTGTAGTTTTTAAATTTAGGTACTGTGCTTGCAAGAGTGTTAAACCCAGTAAAAGCTGAAATTGCTGTCTTACCACCTCAGCTGCTGTTAGTGTTTTTTTTTCTTTGCTTTGATTTAGAAGAGAGATTGCTTGAATTCTTCTCTTACTAGGTTGCCAACAGGAAGACCAGAAGGCTACTGGATAAAAGTAAAACTTTCCACGTGACGTGTGGTGTTACAATATGCATCTTTTCAGGTGAGATCTTACAGTGCTGAGCAGCAGCTTGTCTGGGAAACACACTGCAGCAGTGCTTTGTGGTTTTTCTAGTACAATACATTTGGGGGTAGTCTTGCTCTGTGCTTCCCTGTCTTAAGTTGTGAGTGCTTTTTTGTATGTGTGTGGGTTTTGGTTTATTTTTCCTTTAAACAGATGGGCTAACATTCTAATGTTGAATGTTTCCTCAGTATGCCGAGTGTAAGAGGACAGGTATATCAGATCAGGTCAAAATCCACCATTATGAGTGACCCTCTAATGTTCCCAGGGAATTTCAGTGAAGTAGCAAAGTGCTACAGGCTTATATGCAGAAGAGAGATCATCAGAGACAAATACCCAGTTAGTTAATACTCTTGGGTAGACACCTTGAATGTTGTCTTCCAGTTGAAACATTGCAGTACAGAAATGATTGCTGTAGTATTAAAAAAAAAAAATAATCTTAAAATGTATATAGATTTCTGCCATGAATATCTATAACCTGATTTACTTCAGAAAAATAATTCCTGAATCCCTGATGCATCTCATGCAGGTGATGTGATTATAGCTTGGCATCTAGGTAGCCACTTTACTTCAGGGGAACATCTAGCTCTCACTTATGGATCTCAGCTTTACTCTGATTTTTTGTAGTTTTACATGTTGCTGCTCATCTGGTGAATGCTCTCAACTTTTCTGAGAACTACAATGAAGATTTTCTGGCACTAAATGCGGCAAACTATCGTGGCGAGGTGAGCTAGCTATCCTTTCATATTTTACTTTCAAGTATATAATTAAATAGATGATTATTTATGTATTCAATTCCATTTTAAGATCCATCTTACAATCTATACAGTGCTGCTGTTTTGTGCACTGAAAGCTCACCATTGTGTGGATTGATGTGGATTTTACTTCTTTTTCCAGACAAAGCGTGTATTGAGCACTTTTTGCTTAAGCCAGCAGGATTCGGTCCTATTGGATTTTAAGGTGGAGAATGTTGTCATCAGGTCCTTTCACCTGGCATCCCGTTCTCTTGCTTCCACTTTTCTGCTTTTCTCTGTTCCTTGAGTGGGCCTGGTTGAGCCACTTCTGCTGCCGTTTGGGCGAACACATTCTGCATTTGCACTATTTAGAACAGAGTGCTATGTGACATATACTGGGGATTTGAGGATAGTGAGATGTCGGACTGATTTTGCATTTTTAAACTGCAGTGGGAACTGGAGTACATATGCTAAGAGTATCATTAGTTATATGCATGAGCTGGGCTGGAAGCTGATTTCTACTTAAGAAATACTTGATTTGCAGGATTTTTCTGACTGTGGCGCAGATCTCCTCCAGGCATACCAGAGTTCTAGTCCCTCCTCCAGGTGCTTCCTTGTGCATTTGGCATTGAAGAGAGATCTGCAGCAAGACCAGAGTCCAGGACTCTTTCTTCTTTGGTTTACAATCAAGTTCTCTCTTGTTTATATTCATTCTAGTCTCAAGTCTACATATCTTTTCTACCAGCTTCATTAGGAAAGATTTAGAATGACCCTATCCCAGCTGCATCCTTTCCTGGAAAAGGAAAGCTTGACTCAGCCCAGGCGCATAAGGACCAACAACCAAGGTCTTCCACTCCCTGGGTAAATGATCTAATCACGGAGCTATTCTATGGCAGACAGACATGCCAACACCAACTATTGTGCTGAGGCTGGAGTGTCTGAATGTCTTAGGAGTGGTCTAATAGGCTTAGCCTCATCAGGAACATTAACAGGAGCTTGCCTGAGGCAAGAACTCACCAGGGTGTGCATGGCAGCCTGTACTAAGCAGCCTTGGGAATTTTGCAATAGAAAATGAAGATAATAACATGTTTTTTAGTAACTTTAGGATGTGAGTAACTCCAGTATTTTAGGTACTCTAGTAGCTGTTGAACCTTTCTTCTTGAATTCCACTTAAACCTGTTTTATAACTGTGGTGGGCAGTCTGGATGCTACTGTCATCTTCTGTACATGGGTGCACACACCTGGGTGCTTACAAGGTCAGGGAGAGGGATGCTTCGTTTTTCCTGATCTGTGTGAGAACTGTTCACCTCCCATCATTTTGCATCTCACTGCAAGTTTTAAAAAAATAGTTATTCTCTGCAGTGAAGACAAAACCTCATGAGATGTAAGACTCATGGGGAGAGAGGTGGTTTCCTGTGAAGCTGGCATATCCCCTTTTCCTTTCATATGCGGTGAAGGACACAGGAACATCTGGCCTTGTATCTTCGGGTCCTTTGTGCTCAGTTCTGCTTCACTACAGTCCACTGCAAATCTCTTGATGATGGAACTGGCAGTAAAATGCTTGCTGATTGTGTCTCATTTAAATTCAAAGTCTCTCTTGTCTGGTCCCCTCTCTCCTCCCAAAGGTATGAGGTAACTGAGTAAAGTTAAATTTTCAAACGTAAATATCTATAAAATTATCTGGATCCCACTTTTTCATAACAGATCAGAATTATCTTCTTTGAGGGAATAGAAAGGTTTAGTTTATGTTGAATTGCAGTCAACGTAAACTGTTACCAAATACCAAACCTTTTCCTGCATCTAAATTTAGAGATTGTTTATGCCTTCAAGGGTATGAGCTTTATGAGCTACTTACCATTATTATATTATTGCTATAGCTATAAAATAATTTATTGATATAAATCTTTTTTTTTTCTTTCTTTCTATTTCTTTTTCAGGACCCGAGGAAATTGCTTTTTGCTACTGGTAAGTCTGTTGCCACACTGAATGAGAAAGTTTGCTGCCTCTCATCATCACTCTCTAGACAAAACATTCTGATCCTGTGTTTGCATGCTCCATTTGTTCTATCTCAGCTAGGTTGAGATGTGTTATTTGTTTTAATATAACCTGGGTTTGCTTATCCAATAGTCAGGAGGGAGGAGTTACATAAACCCTGTTGCAGGCTGAGCAGCATCTTCAAAGCTGTTATTGTACAGATGAGTCAGTGGAAAATCATCAGTTTCAAGCAGAGATTCTGCATAATATTAAACCCAAATTCCTGAATGATCTAATTTCTAGAAAAAGAGATACAGCAAAAAAGTGATCTTCTTGCTTCAGCTGGTTTATTTAAGGGTTGATGTGACTTCAGAACCTTCTAAACTGTTACATGGGAATCAGGCTTCAGCACTCATAAAAAATAAGGTAAGGCATTTCTGGTGCAGGAGTTTAGAAGGGAGCAATGTTTAGGTGTTGAAGGGTAGGCACAAGCCTGAGCTGTAGTGCTTCACCTGCAGGTAAAGATCCTTTCTGAGTTCATCTCTCTTTCACTATTATTTAGAACAAATGCAAAAATCTCAACTTGGTAGCATGTAGGGCAATGTCCAAAGGAATCAGTCTGAACAGCAATAAATGGAGTTCTAGACTTGTCAATCCCAATGCATTTACTAGAATTCACAGCCTGTAGGAAAGGGCTTTCCAAAAACACTAAGCAAGGTTTAGGTCAGTTGAGAGTAGAGGAAGTGCAGAAGTAAGATGATAGAAATTGAGGTACAAATTCATTGCTACCTGGAAATAGTTTGTGTAACTGGTGTAGTTAGTGAATTAATACTGGGGGCTTGAAAAAAGGTAACTCACAGAAGAGGGAGTTAAAGACGGGGAGGGAAAATCAGAATGAGCAGTTAGTATATTTAATATCTTCAATAAAGGAGAAGGACTTGGGGTGAAGAATGAGTGTAGAGGCTTCATCAAATTTTATCACAGCTTCTAGGAACACTGAGACCTGTCTAGTTGAGCAGAAGACCTGCAAGATGGAACTCCTGTTACCCCGTGACAGCCAGTTTGACCACAGTGTTGCAAAAAGAAGTGATTACAGGTCATCTTAAATTAAAAATTCCTCAGATCACTCCCCATCCTAATGACTGATAATTAACATTTATTGTTTGTGCTGTGGGAGTGCCCAGACAGGGAGGAAGATTTGGCTGGACTGGGAGGTGTACAAATATGCAAAAAAAGCCCCAGACCAAAACATAGCAAAAAAATGGTCTGTTTCCAAAAAATTCAGAACTACATTTATTGGCAGATTTTTTTGTTTGTTTGTTTGTTTTAACACAGTGAAGAGAAGAAATGAGGAATTGGGGGAATTTATAGTGTGATCACCTTTTAGAACCTTCTTGTATAAGGGTGTGAGGCTTACTGTGGGAAGAACAAGTGTTAAAGATATAATTACTGGAGGAAAAGAGGGACAGGGAGGAGAGGAACTACTAAAAATGCACTGATTAATTGGAGCAAGGTTGTGAGTGATTTCATGTTTGCAGTTTGATGGAGAAGAGAATTGAAGAACTGCACGTAAAAGGTGACCTGTGGCTTGAGTGACAGTGTAGGAAGTTGGATCAAGTGTTGTACTGCAATTGGACTGGAAGTATTTGTGTCAGAGGGGAGATGATTGCATGCTACATATTTACAACTACTTTTAATTGTAAGTTTTCAATGAAGGTGTAAAATTATATTTCTTATGCAGTCCATGACAAAACTTCCATTTATTGTAGGACCAGGATTTTTCCTACGGTTTCTAAAACTGAATAGTGATTTGGAATGTATCAAATATTGGGTATCAGCCTTTTCAAAAAGTGTTTATTGAGAAGCATATAAAAAGATAACATTTGAAGTTGTTTGATTATTGCTAAAGAGTTTATAATCATCATCAATCTTTTAAAAAATTAGCTTGCTCTTAATACCAGGATGTGATCTTGTAAAAGATCCTGGACCAATTTTGCGTTTTACATCCATGAAAGCTGGTTGAGACACTTATATTCTGACACTAATCCAGCATTTACTTAGCTTTGTGTTTGGTGATTGGCCTGACTGGCTGTGTTTAAACCCAAACATGTGGCTTTTAGGGTGAACAGAAACTATGGTTAAAACTTACCATTTTTCAGAAAACAGAAGGTTTTGATGTAATGCTTTATGGATTCTACGTTCTTACTTCTTAATTCAAATTCTTACTTCCTGGGATGGCAATTTGAAGGTAAGGTGCTCAGAAAAAGTGGCAACTTCAGTTGGGAGTTTTCTAATCTATATGTAAGCTGATGGTTTACTATACTTTATGGATAAGATTCTACCTTAGGATGGAATTGCTCTTTGACTTCAAAAAGAGCCAAGGATAGACTAGGTCTGATAGAAGTCTGCATTTGAGCAGATGAGTCCAATCCTTAGTATTTTTAACTTTTCAAATACTGGCTGTAGATCACTCTCACAGACCTTGCTCAATGGGCAACAATTTCAGGCATGATACAATGCCATGGAGAGTAATTCCAGACTCTTTCTCATTCCAGAATGAAATGGGTTGGCAAACAATTGTAGTGACAGCTTGTATAGAAATTGATTTGCTTGAAATTCTGTCCCTGACCAGGTTTTTAATTGCCATGTTCAACAGAGTTTAGAGTTTGAAATAAAAACAGAAACTTGTACAGTCAATCTTACAAATAAACAAATAGACAAAATTTGTTCTTGGTTACCTGTTTAGGGACAAATGTAAAGAACAAAAGATTACAGGATCAAAGACTAATGGGAAATTAGTGATGCATGATGAAATACAAGGAAAGAGCATTTTTCTCTGGAAAGGTGGGAAATAACACAACAGGTCTTCTATCTAGTTTGATACATGAACTGTCTTGAAGAGATAAATACATACAAGAGCTTGAATCATGATTTCTGTGTCTAATAACTTCCACTTTCTTAAAAGGTCATAGGAGACAAGTAGGCCTCTTCACAGTTCAAGTGTAAGTTATCTTATGTCTGTTTTAGTTCCAGGTCTGACTGGAGTCCTTATGGTGTTAGTATTATTCCTAATGTGTACAGCTTCTACATATGCCATCAGGTAAGACAATCTGATTGTTATGCTGAAAAATGCCATCTGAGTAATCAAATTCTCATACTGATTTGAGGGGATGAACAGTAAATGCAATATGAGGCAACAAGTATTTAAATGAGTGTTAAAAATACCAGTTTTCTTGCCCTATTTTTTGTTTTACTAGCTTGCAGGTAAATTAGCACAGTGAATTTTGTATTCAAAAAATTACAGAACCTGATTAAATTGCATTCAGAGAAAAATATTGTTTGAGGATTGTGCTCAGTTAAAAAAACTAGACCTTTAAAATTCAAATGGTTCTTTTTTCCTATTTGTACAGGGAAAACTAAACATATGGAAAATTCTGTCCAATGCATAAATTAAGTCCACTGGAAAAATAATATGCCATCATTATCTCTAATTATTTCACCAACTGATTGTAAAAACAAACTGAAAAAAAAAAAAAAGGCAGCAAAAAAACCACCAAAACCCAGCAGTGAAGCAAACTTAAGCAGAGTTGTGCTACTTAAGTAAAATGTAGCTTTTTTTAAAGCTCTGCATCTGTTTGTCAGATATATTCTTTTTAATGTTGATAATAATTCGAAACAGCATTGCAGTATTGGCTCAGAGCAGCTGCTGGGGTTTCTAAAGATTTGGTCCTCCAGGGGGTTCACGTGCTGCACCAATGTTGTTGAACACATACTCTAGTACATTTGAGTGATTGGTATCTTGAAGGATCTAGCTCAGTGTTGTAGCTTTTTTAAGGCTTGGATTCTGCAACTGAAGTACATAAAAAATCCCTTGATTTTTATAGCAGTGTCTGGTGTATCCAAAGACTGATTATGTAAATACCTCATTCAGCAAACACTGATGGATATTTTCATTCCATGCCTTCAAAGATGAATAGTGCTTCACTGATGGGAGCTACATACATGGTTTTAACTCTGTTGAATTTGTCTTTCCTGAGCTGCAACGTTATCAGGTGCTGATTGAAGAAGGTGGTTCAGCAAATACTTGTGCACTTTTTGTAGACAAAGATAATTCCAGGGTTTAGACCTTTGTGAGCCACTGTAGGCTACAGAACTGTGGGATAAGACTGCTGCGCAAGATGTCAGACATGGCTGCACATTACATAGTCCACACAGATGGCTCTTCTTGCAAAAGTAAGCCAGTTTTGGGAAGATGGAAAAATCAAACAATTACTTCACTCTGCAGCAGTGAGCCAGAACAAAGTCGTGTTTTCTCCAAGGCTGTGATAAATTAGGGGAAAAAAAAAACCAAACAAAAAACCCAGCATTTATTAATGATTGGGAAACTTAGAAAATACATATAGTTGCAAAGATATTCTTGGAAATCATAATTTTAGGATTCATGCAATAATGGTTTCCATAGTTCCAAGTTACAGGCTTGTTACTTCCTTCTTCAATTGCTCTAAATGGAAGTGCTTTCTTGTCATTCTGCCATCTAGCCAGCAGTATCAAAGCCCTTAAGAGATCATCCGCATCTCCTGCTACTCTAGCAATAATTCTTATTTAGAAATTTTATCCTGGCTTCTCCCTTAGGCATATGGCTCAAGCTTGTCTTTATAGTGTAGTTTCCTAAGGAACCAAGTTTCATTGTGCATCTCTCTGTCCTTTTTCTTTCCCTGTGGATTCTCATGTGCCTTATGATGGCTAAGCTCATGCTATAGTTTTAGGAAAATTAACTGTAATTGTTCATTGCCTAGCAGAAACTAGGTTTTTAAAAAAATATTCCAGTGACTATTTTACTCTCTTGGATTTCATCCCTAATCTGCTTTTTCACACTGAGCTGCTTAACCATTTTTTCCTTCATATGTTCTTCCTGAATTTTTTCAGTGCATGATTAACCTGCTATTTTTGTTCATTTACTTGTTCAGTAAACTATGGGAATAAGTATTAGGAGGATTGAATTAGCTGCTTATGTTTTGAAAGAGGAAAGTAAGTATGGTTTCAAAAATTTTCTGAAGTTTTGCTACATCATACCTGAGAATTAGACCAACATCTTTTATTGAGTAGTTGTTTGTTGGAAGGGTCATGAAGTTACTAGAAAGTACAATAAACTCTGTGAATAAATGTTTACACTTCTGCTAATTTTCAAATTAATGTTGTTCAGGAGTATTTCTATTGAACGCAATTACTAGTGACTTTGGAAATCATATATTTGAAGCATCATTAAAATATAAGGTGCTCCAATGCCGTCTCTTTGTAACCACATATTCCAGTCTTCAATTTTATCTTCTAAGCTACAGTTCATATCTTCCTTTTCAAAATTAGCTGTAACAGAGTTAGAAATACTCTTTCAAAGCTGTGCTGCTCACTGTGTCCCTTTAAAGCATCTCCCCTTACATTTCTTAGTAGGTTAATTTACCTGCAAATTTCAAAAGTAGATTAGCTAAAATTAAAATTAAATATTCAGCTTGATCTCAAATTTTCAGGACTTTGCATTCCTAAGAATGCATTAATTCTGTGCATTAAGTATATTTTAAATCCCAAGAAGAGGTAAATAAAATAAATGTTCTGAAGAACGTGTAGCAGTAGGAAGATTATTGAGTATATTGGAATACTATATGTATCTGTAGGATACACAGCTTAAGAAGGATGCAAGTAAGAAATACAAAATTATTAAAATGTTGGAAAATATGCTTCATGGTAAAACGTTCAAGGATCTCCATCCTTTTAGTTTAAGGATGTGAAGCTGAGAGACTTCATTATAGACATGATTATATCTATTTGGGGAAACTTAATACATGTGAGAATTTTCTAGTAGAGATATCTACTAGAATGAAAGAAGAATAAAATGCTCAACTGTCTGGAATCTGATATTTAGACATATTCAGACAAGAAGTGTGTAGTAATTTCAATTGGTAATAATAAATAGCTGTTGAGACCAATATCTCAGAAGCTAGGACTGACTTTCCATCATTGAAATTTTGAAAAATTGGTGTATTCTGAAAAAAAAAAAAAAGCTTAAGATCCAATAAAAATGAGTTCAGTGTCCAGCCTTTGCTATTGTAGCAAGGTAACAAGTTAAACCAGAACTCCAAGACCTGTTTTAGGTTTGGGATAAGTGTTACTCCCTTTGTGCCTTCCCATTGTGATTGCACTCTCCGCATCATCATCCTTTATTTTTGTTACTGATGTTTACTCCCATGACTCCTTACAGATACAGTGACTACATGGAAATGCCTACCAGGGTGTTGGGAGTTAGAAATGGTTTGAGCAGTCTCAAGGAGGAAAAAGTGTTAGTGGGGTGCTGAGTTGGGGAAGGATGGCACAATGAAGAGGGGGTGTCAGAGTCCTCTGCTATTGCTGGGCTCCTTAGAACTTCCTGTGCTTGTTTTTTATTTTGGAGGCCCTCAGAATATCAAAATTATTTTCTCTGTCTTGAAAAAGAAAACAAATCCTGTATTGATAGGAAAAAAAAAAACCAAAAAAACAAACGGTATATGTTTAACACATTGAAGCAAGGGTAGTTATCTGTTTTTGTAAAAGGCCATAGGAGGGGAAAAACTTCTGAAAATAGTTAGCTGTGTTGACGGAGTAGCTTCTTAAAATGTGTTCTCAGAGTTAAGGTTGATTTTTGTTTAATAATTGTTTTGGCTTATGAATGGGGGTATGTTTTTTGGGTTTGGAAGGGACTCTCCTACCATGCTGTGTAGTGTGAGAGGTGTGTTTGTGTGCTATGAAGTAGAATATTTTCTTAACCATTTGGTTGTTGCTGTTTTGTGGTGACTATTTTACTCAAGAGAAAACAAACAAGCTTAACAGAAAACAGTTCCAGATGGGTATTTTCTTTGGTCTTGGTTCTTTCTACATTACCTAACAAACTACCGATGAAAGGAAGTCCTCTTTCCCCTTCACCTCTCCTGATCCTCACAGGGGTAATGTTCTTCTTGTTCCTCCCAAGACCATCAGTCCTAGAGCCCCACTGTATGTGGCCGCCTGCCCTGAAAATTCTCCTACCTGTCCTCTTGTTGCCTCCTTGCTGTGGTTCCCTTTCCTCCTCTATCTCCTTCCACTCCATACCCTCACAAGTTTCTTTTACCTTTCCCACCAGCCCTTCTGCTGCTGTCTGCACTACCCGTTTGTATGTTGTACCAGTAGTGACATATTAAGCACCACAGCCCTGTACTGGGGCAGGAAGAACGTAAGGAAGCACTTGCTGTAAGAGGTTGAGTTTTGAGCCTGGATACTGAAGAACTATTCTAGATATATAGATCTGATAGGGACTATGTAGGACCTGTGAAAGCAGTGAAGTCTTCTAATAAAGGAAGAGTTCTTCAGCTGGCTCTGTACTTCTGTGTCTTTCATCTTTCTTTTTCAGCTTTTTACTCCTGTGCCAGTCACTTGTTCTCAGCACCTAATGACTTGCAAGTACAGTGTGCCTGTAGGAATACATACTGGGCTGTGACTATTCTACATGACTACGTGGTGTATAATGATGTCCTGTGTGCACAGATCTGCTTTAAATTAGCAGTGATTCCATCTAAGTGAAAAAGCATTGAACCATGGTTTATTCTTTTCAGGGTTTCAAACTATGACATCTTCTGGTATACACACAACCTTTTCTTTGTCTTCTATATGCTGTTGATGCTGCATGTTTCGGGGTAAGTAAATGGAAAACACTGTCCCTTTTCCTGAAGCGCAACCAGAAAGAGCAATTCCTTTGACTGCTGCCTTTTCTGAGCTCATTTGTGCACCATGGGCCAACTTCTTCATAGGATGCTATCCTCTTCAGTTTTTCAACAGGTGTTTTGTTTAAAGTTCAGACTGTGGCTTGGAGAACTGTGTGTTGCTACAGCCAGCTCACAAGAACTTCTTCACTTTCAAGTTTATTTCTTGTCCATTTTACCAGTTTCTAGTGGGAAATGAAGAAAACATTCTTTCTTTTCTGCCACCTCTTACTTGGATGCTGAGGGGAGAATGTGAAGCAAAGTTACTCATCCCTTTCTCTTCCCTCTCTACCTTCCATTTTGACTCCAAAGGAGATGGAAGGAACAGCCTCTCCCTAACTACCTTTTTCTCATTGCTATGATAAAAAAAAAAAAAAAAAATTACTATTTTTTCTTCTTGTTTTCACAAACATCAGACCAGTGTTCATGTGAAGCTGATGCTCAGGTCTGTATCAGGCACAAACAAGCCAAGCTCTGCCACAAGGTAAAGCCACTTCTGCAAGTTATGCTGTGTGAAAATCTGGTCCATTGATGTCTCTGGAGGTTCCTTTGTGGATGTAGGTGCAGAGATTGTTAAAGGGAAGGGAAGGTGTATTTGAACAAGGTTTATCTCTCTGTGTCATCAAATATCTACTAAAACACAGGGTGCTGGAATATCTGTGTGACACTGAGCACCACTGCTTAAAGTGACCAATATAAGGTAATTAGGCCTCACAAGGTCACTGTATGAATATGTTGTTAAACAAAACAAACACAGCTTGAGATCTGGTGAACTGAAATCATGAGTTCAAAACAATTGAAATTCCTGGACATAACTCCAGTTCTTGGGGGGGTTTTGTGGTCCTTGTTTTTTAGCTGTGGCATAGCTCATGTTCATAGCTGGGAAAGATTGTTCTAACCTATTCTCTCTGTCTTGGGGCAGGATAAACTTTTGCTGTATTATTCTTGACAGGTGTTTTTCTAACTTCTTGAAAACATCTAGTGACAGAGATCCTCTAACCTCCCTAGGCAATCTGTTCCCATAATTGCTTTCAGAGTATTTTTCATGTTCAGTTGAATTCATCTCCTTTACTATATTATCCTTTGTGCATTGTATTCCTATCCACATTGCCACTTCATGAAGTCTAGTTGGAGAAGTTTGCAAACTGTGGCTGCAGCAATACACCAAGCATTAAACAGGCATCTTCTTGTATACAGCCTCCTTAGTACTGAAAGTCAGGCAGTACAAATCTAAAAGAACGGCGTGTCACTTAAAAGTGGGAGAAAAATGAGTCATGGAGAATGAGATCAAGCTTAAGATGCCTAAATGTCTGTCTCTACATGTTTTCTGAATGCCTTTCTCCCATTATAGTCTGAGTTCTAATAAATACAGTCAATGGAGCCTGAAAGATACTTCAACTAACCTGCTGCTACAAAGATCTACATTCAAGTGAGCTGGATTGATTTCTGGGCTTTATTGGTGATTTCAGTTAGAAGATCTCTTCTGAGAGTAAGGGAAGATTAGATACCCATGCTTAGGTGCCAGAATGTCTCCTGCATGGCACATCTTAGAGATTTGCAGATGCGTGGCCAGTTACTCTGCAGAGTGAGGCATCTCCTGTGGCTGAACTGTGCAGGCAGATTGTTTGAGAATTTACGTATCTTGAGAGTCTCCCCTTGTTAGTATTTCTACAGTATTCTTAGCTTCTTGTTTTGTTTCAAACTATTATGGGTATATTCTTATAGTATCCTCTTCTTCAGGGTAGCCAAGCAATTCTCAACAGTATCTAAGATTCATCTATCATGTGTTATTGGTTTGTTCCTTCATCCCTGCCCTAAGAGAGAGGAGAATCTTTCAGGGAGTTATCGTTGAAGACTTTTTATTGCTTTTGTACTTCCTGCAATGTAATTTTTCAATATTTTGATGGCTTAAGACTTGGTGCGTATCTACAGTAATTTATCTATATTTTAAGACAGTAAAGCAACAACTAAAAGTAGCTTACATAAAATAGAAACTTGATATTTCTAGCACCAATGTAAGGAGCTATAAAAAATACAAAAGATTTTGTATTTTTGAGGAGCTAGAACCTCAGCTGATCCAATTTTGATATTTCTGTGGAATTAAACAGGTTCACAGGAGCTGAGAATAAGGTCGTTCTGCTGTCATTAGAGTTATCTAAGGATTTATCTTCCAAGGGGTGGAAATTCTTAAAGTTCCACCCACACATTGACCTTTAGCAGATCTCTCAAGCAACTCACCTTGAGCTGAGCAATGGAAGGATGAGAAGATAGGAGCAGTGCAATCCCTTGTAAAAACACTGAGAACCATTGACCTCTAGCTTATCATCATAAATATCTCAAGAAATAGTGATATATATTTTCCAGTTCTAGCCAGGAGAACTTTTGTCTCTGTTTTGGGATGGAAAAGTGGGGCAGAGGTTGATATGTGTCCATACAAATCCTGCATGCTGTGTTGCTCAGCCTATAGGACACTTTCACATGATTTACCTTTTGTCTGTCCAATTTTTGTTTGCCAAAGATGTCTGTCTCCTGCTTACTGACAGTTTTTATGTATTGAAGCATTGCACCAAATAAATATATGAAGATAGATAGGTCTTAGGCTCCTTGAGAGCTGTGCAGAACTCAACCTTTTTGGGAACTGTTCTTAGGTGTACAAGGTGACTTGCCTTTCCTTAACACCTTCAGAAATGGGTATCTGTTAACAGGTAGCTTTGTCATCCCAGTTTACCACTCTGTAGTAGTTTAAACAAAGTAGAGATCAGTGGAAGGGATGCTTATGTTTGCAGTTCAGCTATTCATGTCTCAAGGAAAACTTTGAATCCTCTTTTAGGATGCTAGTAGAACAAAGAAGCTGTGGGAGCAGCTGGCAGGCATGCACACAAAGTTGATTGGAAAAATAGTGCGTGTGCCATGACTTCCAGTGAAATCCATAATATTTACAGAGCAGGGAGCTAGGATAACGCTGGGGATGTCTGCCACTGTCTAAATATGCAGTGACCAACAGTGATGCCAGATGCAAGCAACAGGCGTGATCGGGCAATAAATACAGACAGAAGCATGGATATGGGAGCACGTACACTTGTGATTCTTCCAGGGTTGGACATGGAGTTTAGAGTGTGCAGGTTTAACTTCCAAGCTGTGTATTAGTCACTAGACTATGTGGGAAGCTTGTTACTAGCTGTCAGAACTACATTTCAGTAGGGAAGCCTGCCAGTAGCCTGTCGGAGCCCATTTAAGTTGAGAGTATTGCAGCTGTCCTACTTCTCTCTCTTCTTGTGAATTAAACTGTGTCACTGCTGCTGTTGTGTGTGTACGTTGGGGAGAGGAGGGAGAAACATATGTCCTTATGTTTGATTGTATGCTTGAGATGAGCCTTCACCACATGACCTCATGCTCAGAGGGCACATCTCACCATACATTGCCCCTTACTTCCCACCCAGCACTGTCCTATACAGCTGTCATTTAGCCCTTTGCTTTTTTAATATTCCTCTTTGTGATTTTATTGTTATCAAATCCAGATTTGGAGGCAAGTAGTACTTCTGAGGAATTTTCTTACTAATATTATCTGTTCTTCCTCATGTTCAATGATTCATTCATGTGCTGAGATATCCCAGAATGTCTCGGGTTTCCACTTCTTCCTTCATAATTTCTAGCTGCAGCTGCAAAGTTCTTCATTCATTTTACTATAAATTTAACTTTAGCTGAAAAGAAGCTAATAAATACAAAATAATTTGCAAGAATTTCCTTGGCTACCATGCAGGACTTTCTTCTTTTCTTCTATCTGTTTGACAAGATGGTATTCAAAGGAGCAAATTATGCCATCGTGTGCAAACCTGAGAAACACCAAGTGGTGGGAACAGTCCTGCAGTTCATGATTTGGCAACTTAGGACACTTCTGCTACAGATTGCCCTAAAAAACAGGGCCTGCTCTTTGTAGGGAGGATGAGTGAAAACAGCCTGGGTGTGATTGAACTGGAAATGTGATTACTTCATTTTTTTTCAAGATTCCCACAATATCTTCCCCCTTTCAAGCAGTATTAAGCTTGAGGCTGTTCAGTGGGGGAGTGTCAAGTGAGATGGAAAAGTTAAACCTTGCCTCTAGTGACATAGGGCTCTATTGTTGCAAAGCCTCAATCTCATTGAAAGTCCTGAAAGCCAATGGAATAAAAATTTTTACAGAAGATGAGCCTTGTGACTGCTTTCTAAAACCCTCTCCAAATTAAGATAAGTTGCTTGGTTTTGACCGTTACTTCAGTGACTTTGCTATTTTTATTTTCCTGTAGGGGAGTGCTCAAGTACCAGACCAACTTAGAGGAACACCCTCCTGGTTGCTTTAATCCTAACAAAACACTCCGACAGAATATGATGATGCCAAAGGCTTTTGAAGAGCCGTTTCCTGACTATACTACTGAGCCTTTCCCAGAGGACTTGCCAGTACCAGAACCCTTTGTACAAAATAAATTTATGAGAATTTGTTCCGAGGAACCCAAGTTCCAGTCACACTTCCCAGAGGTCTGTATGATCCGACGTTTCAGGTATTACAAGCTATGCCAAGTCTTTCAGTCAGCCATAACCACTAATTATTGCTTTTCCAGACCAGATGTTTTAATAATGGAAAATATTATTAAAATCTTTTCAGGCATTCCAAGATTTGATGGGGAAAAACAATCTATATTAAACCTTGAGCTATATTACAATGTGGTGTATAGAACAGGGTGTAAAAATGTTCAAGAGTTTGGCTGTAATGTTCTTTTTTGTACGACACGATAAGAGATGTATTAGTCTTGCTAATAATGTGACTTTAAATTACAGCGTAGCGCTTCAGAGCAAACATTTATGTAACGTATTCATAAGGTCCCTTTGTAAGCATTGTGTGGCAGTAGTTAATTGAAATAATCAAACTCCATTTGTTCTCTTTTTTACCATGCAAATGTGAGTCCTAATACTCATTTCTGGGTTGCAGTTGGTTGTGGTTTGGCTTTGTATAGCCTGTTGTTTGCAGACAGGCTTGTTTTATATGTGGCATGGGTTAATGAGTATGATGACAGTGGGGATAGAAAAGCCTTTTCTTCTTCTGTTTTCCATTTGCCTTTTGTTTCTTTATGTTTTGTGGCAGCAGCTTTTTCTTCATCCAAATTTTCCCCTTTCTTTTGAGAAAAGATGAGCTGGGCTGTCTTGACAAGTAGCCTGAGGAGGTTTGGGAATATGGAATTCACAAGTCCAAGGCCCATCCCTCAAGGTGGTCTCATAACAGACCTCACAGGAGTTTCTCTTTATTATTATAACTTTTTTTGTTTGTTTGTTTTTTTTCTGTAGAACACATATATCCCTTACTAGCTGCAGTGGGAACCCATTTTACTATGGAGCATGTAATCATAATACAAACCACTCAATTCTATGTTAAGTACTCCAACAAGGTTCTTTGGCTTTGTATTTTGTTTTGGTAAGACTCCCAAGTTGCAAGCGTGGATGTATCTATGACTCCACATGACCCACGGAACATCAAACAGTCTTTGGGGCTTCAGGATGCCTACTTTACAGCTATTTATGGGAAAATAAGACCCATGGAAAGAAATGGCCACTCATTGTTCTCCTAGCAGTTTATAATGTTTAGGACTCTTTCAGATTTGGAGTTGTTTTATGCACTTAGCGATAACCAAGTCTAAAACAAACACAAAAGCTTTGTGGAAAATAAAAAAGGTCTTGTGAGCTGCTGAATTTTTTAAGGCCAGAGCAAATTAAATACTCTGCTGGTTGCAAGAGATGCTGATGTGTAACTTCAAAAACTGGTAAAGGAAGGTGGATGAGGGTTGAGAGTACTTCAGTGCCATGGCTTGGGTGACTGAGAAGATGTGGAATTAATAGTTAGTTCTGCCATAAGCTGTTAGTAATTGACTTTTAGGATGGGATATAGCTGAACAGCTGCAAATGTCTCTGTCTGGGGTAGTCACCCAGGGCTCCCCATATAATCAGTGCAGAGAAATGAGCACTTCCAGGGCATTCTTTGTCTAGCATACAGATCTTCTACAGGGGCAAATGAATCATGATTCAAAAGTGCCCATTTCTCTTCCTTGTCTATGATTTTAAACTAGCTTGATATGTGTAAGTTCTATAGCACAAGAATGCTTCTTTCTTACTTTCTTGCTTGTACCTGACATGATTAAAGGAAATAGTCAAATCATATTGCCTGTCAGATAGTGTTTTTCCATAAAAGTTAAGGAGCTTTATAATACTCTGGTCTGTTTGATTTTGAAATGGTGTACATAATGTGTCATTCACTGCTGAAACCAGTTGCAACCAAGTACATAAAACCAGAGTAACATGGTTGCAAATGAGGTCGTTAGCATCTTATTCAAATACATTTATTGTTTGTGCTTGTGGATGATGCTGCTGGTTAGATGGATTATACCTCCATAAAGTGCTTGGTTTTCTGCACCTAAGAGAGATGTGAAGGTTATGGGTGACCAAAACGCTGTTCCACAATAGATGTGAAATGAGGTCCTACAAGTGTTCGTGTAGTTTTGAAATTAGAAAACATAAATGTAAAGTCCTTGAAATAACCTGTCTTTGTTCTCCCGTAGACCTGGTTTTGGATTTCTGGGCCTCTGTGCTTGTACTGTGTGGAAAGGCTGTATCGGTACCTCCGCAGCAGTAAACCAGTCACCATAACTTCAGTGATAAGCCATCCTTCCAATGTCCTTGAAGTAAGGATGGTGAAAGACAACTTTAAAGCAAGGCCTGGTCAGGTGAGTTAATGTGCCCCTGAAAAATCATTGCTGTTCATGTAGTATGGCCTATGGGCATCACTTTCACTTTGTATGTACTAACTGCTCATTGAATGTTTTGAACATATCTTTTCTATCATTTAATTTTCTCTGGCTGATTTTGTTTCAGTATGTTATTCTTCACTGTCCAAGAGTGTCCGCACTGGAAAGCCATCCATTCACCCTTACAATGGTAAGGCATATCTTTTTTTTCTGTACTTTCCTTTTTGTTCAGGTTTGGTAAGCAAAAAAGGAAACAGTCTTTATTTCTTTCAAGGTGAAAATTCCCTCTAGAAGGACTTATGTTTCATTTATGATGGTACCAATGAATATGAAATGGCATGATTATTATGTATGACAGTGCTCAATACATATTTAATTTTCTCCACTGTTGAGAAAAATTATAATGGGGACTTTTTTCAAAGTCTTCCATAAGTGAAAAACAGTAATAAATAAATAAAATCCATACGGTTTTGATAATTTTTATACGAGGTTTCAGCCTTTCTTTATAGAATTTAATTCAGAATGAGCATAAATAATAATTTTTCTGTCGTCTCCTTTATTAAGTGAAAAGACATTCCTGCAACTGCCTTTTCCAAAGTTAGAAAAGCATCAAGTTTAAAAAAGAAGTTTCTAAAATAGTCTTCTGCTTTATTTGCATATTAAGAGATCCATTGATGACTTTCAGTGATATACCACTGAAATCATACAATATTTGGCTTATTATTTATTCAGCTCAGCTGATCTAGAATGGGAATTGGACCTCCTGGAATAAAGTGAAATTGTACATAATAAATGTGAAGCTCTCCAGGAGTGAGCAGTGTAGAGGCCTGAAATATACTACCAAAAAATCACTGTACTGCATTGGCTGTGTTGTTACAAAAGTAGAGTCTGAAGGTTGAATGTTAGTGGCAGCCTTTTCCTCCCCAAAGGAATAAAGGCTTTAGGATTTCCTGAAATAGATATTCTTCAAGAAGACCATGGAGATAAATACTAATGTTTGATTCATTCTTTGGACTGATAACTGATACTTTATCCCCACTGAATTGTACCTAGTGCTATGGAACAGCTGAGATGCTTCACTATTACTTGAAATTCAGATGCCACAAACAGATCCTATTCATTTCCTCATTTCCAGTTCTTGGGTTTTGTGAATTTTTTTTTTTTTTGTTATTATTATTTTTTAATTTATTTACTTACATGCTGAGCCAGGAGGCAGCTACTGTCACACAGGAACCCACACTAAATTCCACCCAAAATAAATTTTGCGCTGTAAATCTGTGAGAGAATCTCACTTAAGGGAAGCTGTCTCTGCATGGCTTAGTGAAGCGAAACTGCCTCTTGCATTGCCTGATTTTTGCAAAGTTTTCCTGGCTTTTCACTTTAAACATAGGAAGGCAGGCATGTATTATTTTTCTGTTGTTAACTCCAGTAGGCAAGTTTTAAGGCTTTCCTCTGTGTAGTTCATTAAGATAAGTTGATATGCAATGATGAAAAATTATGTGCATTGAGTATGATGGAATGGTAGCTGGGTTTTGTTTTGCACAGAATGGTTCAATCAGTATATATGTTTTTTATTAGTTTAGTGATCAGAAGATAAACTTTGAGAACTTATTATAAGTCTCAGATTGCTTTTTGCACTTATTTGGCCCTGGCATAGTTATATTTAGTAAAGTTAGACCTGGTTTATGCCAGGGGACACATCTTACTTAAACATTAATCTCAAAACATCATATTTTTAGTTTCTGACTGTCTATCTCAGTGGAAATTAAAATACTGGTAATCATAAGCAGTAATTGCACAGTTTGGAAAACATGGGAGTCTTATAAAGATTTATTCTTACGTTAGGACACTGCTAAACCAACGGATTGTGTGATTCTAATTTCCAGAAGAAATGCCATCAAGGAGTGTTAGGCCTGGTTCAGTAAACTTTTTTTCTGGCAAAACTTCTTATATGTTATGATGAGAGCTTTTATCAGAAAAGAGACTGCTGACATGGATCTACTGGGTTAGATCGTAGGGTGAAGTTGAATAAGTTGTTTTATTGAAGTCAGATTCTTTGCATGATTGGACAATTTCATTCACTATGGAAAATAGTGTACTATGATAGTGCATGCTATGGGAAAACTATTTTTGCATCAAAACTTTAGATCTAGGAGCTGTGTAAAATAGATCTCTATTAGAGATATGGACTCTATAGACTCAAATGGGTCTGAGTTTTCCTAGTAAATATAAAAAACTCATTTATAATAAAATAATGTGCAATAAATTTCTGATACATAAGGCTAGTTGATAAATTACAGTTTTTGTCATTTTTGCAGTCACATTTTAAAAATGTAACATTAGAACTAGCATTTCCACTCATGTACAATGCATTATATTTTAAGTGTGTAATACTAGACCAGGTCATTACTCTTCATGGCCAGTGCTTTGCACTTTAAAGTACAGTTTTATCCTTCAGCATAACAGCATATCCTTCAAAATCGAATACATATTTATTACAAGATATGAACTTACCACTCAGTTACTGGGATTAATTTTTATTGCCACAAACTTATTTTAGTAGAACATCAACTATGCTGGAGGAATGCTTGTCATTGGGTAAATGGCTGCTTTGCAGCGTAATAAGGATTTGAAATGTCCAGGTTTATGACAGTCTTTTTGCCCAGCCTAAGCAGGGGACAGTGATTTCCACATGTCTTGCTAGATCACAGAATGTGCCTTGGGCTGCTCTCCTGCTTAGAAAGATTATTATTTTTTTTTAATATGATGGCAGACATGGGACTGTGCCTATAGAGTGTGTAGGCATAATCTTAACTGAGTATTTTTTCTGCTCCCGTCTGACCTACTTGTAGTTACCGAGCAATCTGAAACACTACTGCTGCTTCTTTTGTTGGATGATGATAATCCCTGGGTTGTTCTTCTAGGCTGGTGTGGAACTGTGGGGCTCAGAGCCACAGCAAGAGCAGCACGAGGGGTGTGTGGGGATTCAGATACTGGAAGCACAGCGCAGTGATGACTGCAGTAGAACTAGGGGGAAGACTGCAGCATTCTTCCTGGTGCTGTTATCCTGCTTAGAATAATGGAATCATAGAATGGTTTGGGTTGGTAAGGACCTTTAAAGGTCACCTAGTCCAACCCCCCTGAAATGAGCAGGATCACCTTCAGCTAGATCAGGTTAGTCAGAGCACCATCCAATCTCACCTTGAATATTCTCAGGCATGGGACATTTACCACCTTTCTGGGCAACCTGTGCCAGTGTTTCACCACCCTCATTGTAAAACATGTCTTTTTTATATCTAGTCTAAATCTACCTTCTTTTAGTTTTAAAACCATTACCTCTTGTCCTGTTGCAGCAGGACTTGGCTCTATGGGATGTCCTGTCTAAGTGATGAAATGTCTCTCTGGGCCTGGAATATGCTTAAAAGACAAGAAATAACCACTTCAGGCATGTCTGTATACTCAAAGTGAGGACAATAAACAAAAGTGGAAAGGAAGGAGTGAGTCAGTATGAAGGAGTCATGCAGATATTTTACTAGTCTCTTCTTCCCTTTTTGATGATGTGTAATATTTGCAGTTTAGCTCAGTTTCTTACATAATGCTGGGGTGGAGGAAGGCACCGGGAGGCTGTGTAAAGGGCCCAAGCACACTCCCATTGCACTCTGGCAAAGCTCCCATGTTTCACTTGGAGCCAGAGGGAGCTCTGAATCGCAGACGTGAAAGGTAGGCATTCCTCAGAAAAGTATGCAGTGGCATTTCTTTTCTTTTCCTTTTCGTCAGTTGAAGATCATTTTGTCCAATGTCCCTGCTCAAGCAGGGCATCTATACCCAGTTGCCCAGGACCATGTCCAGATAGGTTTTGAATATATCCAAGGATGGATACCCCACAACTTCCCTGGACAGCTAGTGCAGGTGCTTGGTCACTCTGTCAAGGTTTAGCGTCGGTGTCATTGACTAGACCTATAACAGATGCTCTCTGTTAACCTCTCTCCTGTCCCAAAGGGGAAGAGAAAGGGAATAAGAGAGAGAAACTATGAATTTGGAAAACAGCTGTAATTAAAATAATAATAATAGAATGAAATAGAAACAGATAGAAAACCAATATCAAACCCAACCCCCTTGATGGCAATTACATGACCGTCACCACTCCTGCTGTGGAGCAGGCACTAGGGAAGTCCCAGACAGAACTCAGCAGCAGATGGGGATCAGATTCAGGAGCTGGGTTCTGGAACTGGATTCAGGAACACATGGATTAGAGTTCAAAGGCAGAGGCTTTGAATAGAGGCTTCCTCAGACATTGGCCATTGAAGAAGAGACTTGACCCTTGTAATTCCTCAGCTTTATACTGAATATGATATATGTGGGATAGAATTCTTTGTTGGTCAATTTAGGGTTACCCACCCCATGCATTCCTCCCTGAAGGTGTGACCTTTCACATTCTGCATCCACCATGTGGTATGCAAGATTTAGCAGTGACCTTGGTCTACACGGGATTAAGTATAAGCAAAAGCCTTTCTACACACAGCAATCCTAGGTAATTACCGTAAACATGGAGCATTGTCACGGCTAGGAGCAGATACACACTGTGAAAATATGCTGTTGACTTCAGAAAATGCAGTTAATTAGAAGAGACAGCTGAGAATCGAAATCACCAAACAGAATTACTTCTGTTCTAACTCAAGTCAGGACACTCTTAGAGTAAAAAAGTGTTTCCTGATTTTCAGAAGGAACCTTCTGTCTTTCAGTTTGTGCCCATTGCTTCCTGTACTGCTGCTGGGCACCACTGAAAAAAGCCTGATTTCATCCTCTTTGTACCCTCCCTTCAGGTATTTATAGACATTGATAAGGTCCCCTTAGAATCATAGAATCACTATGGTTGGAAAGGACCTCTAGGATCATCCAGTCTGACCTTCCTTCCAACATTTCCCTAACCAAAGCCTCAAGTGCTACATCTACTCATTTTTTGAACACTTCCAGGGACGATGACTCCACCACCTCCCTGGGCAACCTGTGCCAGTGCCTAACCACTCTCTCAGTGAAGAAATTCTTCCTAATATCCAGTCAAAACCCCCCCGGCACAACTTGAGGCCATTTCCCCTCATCCTATCATCAGTAATTTGGGAGAAAAGACCAACACCAGCGTTACTACAACCTCCTTTTAGATAGTTGCAGAGAGCAATAAGGTCTCCTCTC